CCCATTAAGAGGCCCCAGCTAGGGTCACCCGCAGCACCTCTAGGGATCTTTTCAAGGCCCTGCCCCCAGCCTGTGGTGATTGGTGATAGTGGCCCCCAGGACAAACGCAGAAGGCTTCCTGGAGGAGGGGGTGCCTGGGTGGAGACCTGAGGGGGGACCCCCAGATAGACAAGAGGGCCCTGTCCTGGGCCCAGCCGCCAAGCACATCAGCTCCTCAGAGGAGCTGCAAGCTGCCCGCACAGGGGTCAGGGGAAATCGCCTGAGAGGAGGGGCCTGGGTATGGGCGGGGCCAGGCTGGGAAGTGGCCCGAGGGGAGGGGCCTAGGCAGGGGAGGGGCCAGGAAGGGTGTGTGGATGGGTGGGGCCAAAGAGCAGTATGTGGTGAGGAGCAGGGTGGTGGCTGGAGGGGCGGGGCCAGGCCTGGGCGGGGCCAGGGAGCAGCAGAGGGTGGGGCCCTGCGGACACTGACCTGGGAGTGATGGTGCGCATCCGGACGCCGATGAAGCGCTTCTTCCAGTCTGTAAAGACACAGGGCAGGTCTCGGGCAGGTGGCCCAGACAGCACCTCAGGGACAGAACCTTCCTGAGCGCTGGCTGCAGCAGGTTGCCTCCGGCCCGACACTCCCCCTCCCCCACTCCAGGCCAGCACCGTTATCCCCAGCTGCCCACTATATTATCCTTGGCTGCCCGCTGGGCGCCACCCTCACGGCCAGCTGGGCTGACCCCTGACACCTGTGATGTTACCCTGTATGACTGACGCCCCACGGTCAGTCACATGATTCTGGAGGGGCCACCTCCCCCTGGGACCCTGCCTCGTGCCTCAGACCCACCCAGGCCAGCTGGGCTGCCCCCTCACCTCCACCCTCCTGTCCTGCTTCCCTGCCTTCTCACTGTCCCTGAAGGCCCACCCCCATGGAGGCCAGGGGACCAATCACCAGGCATGAGGGCTAGGTGCCGGCATGGGTATGGTGGAGGTAGGTCCGGAGGGAGGGGACTCAGGCAACAGCTCCCAGGGTTCGAGTGGGCATGGATGGATGAATAGGAGTTTGCCAGGGGACAGGTGGCGGGGAAGGCACTGCCAGCAGAGGGAGCCTGGCAGGCACAGGGTGCCTCGGGATCTGAGAGGCTCAGGGACAGGGCCTGGTGCATGTCAGGGTTCTGCACAGCCGTGGACTACTCACCCACCCTAGAGACGGACGGGGCAGCTGAGGCTTCGGGAAGTGCAGGGCCTGCAGACTGGGTGGCCGTGCTGGCTGGGCCGCAGCCCTTCGTCAGGGCCCTGAGCAAACTGTCTGCCCCTCCACACCGTCCATACGACGCACCCCACACCCTATGTACAGCGAACCAGACTGTACACTGTGCACTCAAGGGAGCAGACGAGATTTAACAGCGACCTTGGCGCTGGCAGCTCCTGGCCTCGCTGCAGTGCTCTTGGAGGTCTTCCTCTCCGACCCCACGGCAGTGACAATGAGGCACACTCTGTTCCCACCATCGAGGCCTACACACAGGGTCTCACAATCCCCAAACTCCCCGAGGCCCCAGGAAGAGAGCTCAAGCTTATTTACAGGAATTTAAAAATATGCGGAGCCCAAGAAAGTAAAACTCGCCACACCTGGCATCTGATGATGATGATGATGATGATGATGGTGGTGGTGATGGTGATGATGATGGCAGTGTGAACCGAACTAAGCAGGTAATGAGGTCAAATGAAAATGACCCAGCAAAGACATTTACATACTCAGCACCAGAAAGCAAGTCTCAAGATAAAAGAGAGGGAGAGTCAAATAGAATAAAGCTTCCTTTGGGGGTACCTTGGGGTGGTGTTAAAGGGGAGCTGATATCAAGGAGTTCAAGATGGAAGAGAATGTTTGGAAACCAATGGTGGTAGCAATTGGACAATACTACTTGATGCGATTGAAGCATGGAATGATATGATATCTGTATTAGCTCCCAATAAAGTGGTTTTTGAAAAGGAATAATATCATACAAAGGATGTTTTGTTAAAAACTGAAATAAACCCACCAGTCAGTTACAGAACAGTATCCAGAAAGCTCCTAAATATCTGACAGTTTAATAGCAGACTCCTAAGGAACTTATCTTTGGGGGGGGGGGATCAGAGAGCATTTTGGACTAGACGAGAACT